TCCTACTAAGAAGAAGTAAATGTTCTGCTATATCTCTGGCAAATGAAATGAATAAATATTGAATATGCAGTTAATAAATGGATTATGAAGATCCATATAGTTCATGAAGAATATTAATCGAAACATATGAAAATTAAATCTCATACTAAGTATTAAGAAGTCTAAGGTATAATATATTCCTAAATGAATATTGAAGTCTCAAGCAGAGCATCTCCTAGAAGGAATAGTCATCGAATGACTTTGTAGTGAATAACACTATCTCATTGTATATATCACATAATAATCTCTTATGAAGTAGAGAATATATCTCACAAAAGATATGTTATCCACAAAAAATGAGAACATCTTCGAAAGAATTAATCCACGAAGGATTTACCGGTTGATTCTTGAATAAACACTATTAATCCCTGAAGTGAATGTAGACCCGAAAGAAAGAAAATGAGGAATTCTAAATACTATGAAGGTGCCGTGCAAACACTTAGAAAGTGTGTATTGTATAGCTAGCAATAAAGTGTTGATATCCTCTAAATACCATCGAAGGTATAAGAATAATGGTGACTTTGGCAATTGAATTCTAAATATCATCGTATATACATTCACACTAGCTACAGTACACAGTATAGTAATCCTCTGATAGCTTGTTCCGTGCAGGAGAGGACGGCTTCTCAATTCTCATGTATCAGGGATTCAGGGGACAGGGCCTCGTGGAGCGTGGAGGTATTTGCAAGCTAGCAAGGGCAGCTCCAACAATTAATTTTTAAACTAGCTTTAAGTATTTTTCTCATATTTTAATAGAAGAGAGAAAAAACTAGCTCTTGATCCAGAGCTAAACTCTCGCACATACTTTAAGGTTATGTAAGAGTATTATGTGTGGCTATCCATATTAAAAGTTATATGCTAAAAATTAGTATTATTAGAGGAGTTGGTTTAGAGCCAGTAACTAGCTCTAACTATTACGGTACCCTGGACCAGCAAAATCCTGAACCCAACCCTATGATAATTACTAACATGAGCTCATTGGTGCTGTCCTGACTCCTGAGAGCAGCCTTTCACATTGACACATAAATGTTACAATATTAAGTTGGTTTGTTTAAGATGTCTCGTCTGATTCCATAATCCCTGAATTTGTACTAGTAGCAACTAGCAACTTGTAAAATAATGCTCGTATATAGTCTCACAGTCCAAAATTTTATAGCTTCGCACTTCGAAGAACAAACAACATTTTTCTCTCCCATAGTCACATTCCTCTCTTTCCTCAATTGACAACAATCCTTGTGACACTGCTGAGAAGCTGCCAGTTAAAAAGGCTTTGTTACAGATTCTAACAGATTGGTTGGCCCATCGGTCTACACTGACACTGATAAGACGGGCCAACGAGGCAACATTAGCACATGGCTCACAGGAATATGCACAAACACCACATGGCTTCACGACACTCGTCTTCTAGACCTCTATATGCATCTCCCTCTAAACATATAGTGTCACAACCGAGCAGCTCAGAAATCCAGAATCCTGACATGCAAAATTGGAGCAGAATCCTGAAACGGTTAAGCTCCATCCATTCTAGGCCAGCCATACCTGGATTAAAAGGGAGCAGACTAACTGGACTATACAGCTGTTTCTTTCCCTTTTTCTTCGCCCTCTGCACCCTTCTCTGTGTACTCCCCAACTGTGAAGCGTCTCTTGTTAGCACTTAAACCTGATGTATGCAGCTGCCCTCGTTTCTTGACTAGACGAGCAGCAGTTTCACGGTCAGCTTTTGCGTCCTTGTAGTCAGGCTGCACAAAGCATCCAACAGATCGTTTAGGCGTAAAAGGCAACTTATTTATGTATGATCGCCAATGATTGCATAGGAGATAATCTGGATTATACTAGGCTAAAAAGAAAAAAATGGGCACCTTGATAGCTAATGCCTTGTCAAAAGTCAGTATAGCTGAATCTGGCTCCCCAAAATTTAATTGTGCTCTACCAAGTGTAACCCAAGCCTGTAAATCATCAGATAATGCAGATGATTACACTACTGATTAATTGGGGGACAGTATTGAGTAATGATGGCATTCTCCCAGGGATCAAGCTGGGCAGAAACCGAAAATTGAAAGAGAGCCAGTAGCATCACTGATGAAATCCCTACTAACCTCAGGCCAAAATGGATCCAGTTCTGTTGCTCCTGCAAGATAACCCCAAAATGTCTTTAAATGGTTTGATTACTGTAGAAAATGGGATTGACACAACTGACTTAGCTCATACATGCTGCTACGATTATACAGACTTTGTGATAATAGGGTGGTTCTTCACACTTATGTCATCAATGTTGTATGCATGTTTACAACAGAAGTGTCACTAATGTTTACTTTTGCCAGGAAAGAAACCCCATGGGCTGAGTAAATTCTAGACAATGGATGGTTGGTGCTACTATAGTAGTAGTATCACTTAAATGGTTGGTGTTATTCCCAGTTCACGGCATTTTCGATAGCGTAGTCCAGCAAGTCATTCATCCAAAAGAACGAGAGCTTACTGGTTGCTGCTGTCAGTGCACGCCATGCATCTCCCACTTCAAGTAAAACCTGAGCTTTCTGCTCATGAAGTATTGCATTATCAGGTGTCAAGATAAGCGCCGCCTCCCATTTAGCAAGTGCTTCATGGTACTTCCCTTCCTAAAAAATAACAAAAAAAAGTTTCTTTCTAGTATCACATAGAAGCTGAGTATGACTGGACTGCTCAATTTTTGTAGGCCTACAGAACCCAGCTACAAATTTATACCTCACTAGTTGTCCACAAAGAGTTTTATAGGCAGTGGCAAATGCAAAAGCACGTGGACGGCCAAAACTGAATATTTCAGCAGCTTTTCATGTGGATTTCTAAGAGAGGGTATACCCAAGGTGGATTTCTGAGACAGACTAATTCATTTTGGGCTTTAACTCCTTATTTGAAATACTGCACAATAATAAGAATCACTTAATGAAGTATGCAGTTACTGAATATTCTCTTGCCAAGGAAACCATGAGAAAATTCAACTCCCAAGGAGCGCGACACAGGAACGGCACAAAACCCCCACAAACACATATCAGCCGTTCAACTGTGAGGGAACAACAAATTTGTGGGGAATTGATCTCAAAGAAATAGAGGTACCTCGGCTAGCTTGTCTCCCTGACTCTGGAGCAACTCAGCAGTTTCAACTGGTTTTGTTCCAGGACAGTTTGTGTTTGCATCTGATTTTTCCACCCTTTCAACCTCGTCGTTGTCACTCCCCGCTCCAAATGGTAGGCCTGGTATAGTTGATACTACCACCGACTGCTTCTTAACCTTGGAATTCTTACCCCAGGCTATCTTCATGGTGGAGCTGTTTCAGAGGAGAGAGACAAAGCTGAGTTTTTGTATGTAATCAAGCCACACACTGACACACATAATGAGGATAAGTGTATACAATACTCCCTCTGATTCAAAAACGTCGTTTAGGACAGCAACATAGTCTCCAATTCGACACTGGACTAGCATCTTTTGTAAATCATTAGAAATAATGAAAGTCATATGTAGTGAAAGTACTTTCCATGATGAATATAATACCATCAAGCATATGTTGCCAATCTATGTAACTTTTCAAGCATTGATGGGCCAAGGTAAAGAAGTTTGACCAGCTAGAATCCTAAAATGGCCTACATTTAGAATCGGATGGAGTATATGCCTCTATCACTAATTTCAGTATCACCAATCTGAACTGCACTTATCGACACAAAAACCATGGGATATACATATATGTGAGCTTCAAAGACAATAGCAAACAAGTAAGATAGAATGTCTGTCTTTGTTCTTGCCAAGCAAAAAGGGCCCTAATTAGAGACCCGAACCATGTTCCATTCGACAAAATTGCCATCTGGTTGTGAGCCAATTGGCACGTTCGAGCAAGCAAAAGGCTATAAAACCTCTGTAGTCAAAGATGACCATGATTGGAGTTGCACAAGGTTTTCTAGGCCAAGAACTCACGGATTGGAGTTGCAGAGCAGGGGCACGGTTACTAGCTCTGAAGATTTTTCAGATTAATCGACGGATGCTTTCGCTCAAAGAAGCAAGTTCCACCTCCTTCCAGTCCAGGTATGTAACAAGTGACCAATCAAACCACCAAGGGAGGAAGAGCTAATTTATGCTCTTGGCGCCTTTTTTTTTTCAAAAATACCAATAAAAACTCATATTCACATTTTGATGGTTAATTGTTCATCTATTATAATTTCTACGAGCATGAAATTGACATTATATGAAAGTGTAATATGGATCTAATTTTACCAAAATCATATGGTATAATCTACAATTTTTTAGACTTAGTGTTGGTCAGAGATAAACATTTTGAATCATGATTTGCATGCGTGCCTTACTAGAAGGAAAGGAGAGACAGGTAAGATGGTCAGATAGTATCACAAAGGTATTTATTAGGGATGGAGGGGGTCTGTGCAGGGCTGCCAGGGGTGGACTTGCCTTGATTCGAGGCATTCGGTTGATTCAAGGCAATGGCGGCAAGAGAGGGTACTGCCCGGCAGTGGCGGACCCAGGAATTGTTCAAAATTAGGACCACTTACCATTGGCAAAAACTAACCATACAGTATGTCACACATTGACGGCTATAATGAAGGGAATTTTTCAAATTGATATGATGCTTGAGTTACATGTTTAATAGTACAACAAAATAGTTAAGAACATTAAATTGTATAAAAAAATAATGTTCCATTCAGTTGTGTGGCAGCAGCGCAAGGGAAATAAGATGCCAAAGTATCGGTGTCATTCATTTTGCACCGTCTGTAATTTTAGATTGATGATTCTAGTTTCAATTTTCAATCAAATTGAATAGATACTACAAATACAAACAGTTGGGATTGGAAATTAGGGAGTGGACAGTAGGGAAATACCACAAATTAGAGGCTGTAGTTGGATTGGAGCAGACGAACAGGAGTAGAACAGTGAAGGCCAGACCGCCGGATTGGAGCTGCGGACGCCGGCCTGCGCCCTGCTGGATGCGGGCAGTGGCACAAGGCGCCGCTGCTCCGGCTGCGCCCTGTTCCGGTGCCGCCGGCCGGGCTGCACGAGTACGACCGTGGGGAGTAGGGAGTAGGCGAGATGGTCTGCCGAGGGCTGAGCTGAGGGCTGCCGGCGTAAGGGTGAGGGATCGAACGGGGTCGGTATCGGCATCGGAAGGGGCGAGTCGCGAACAAGTTCCCCTAGTCGGTGGACTAGTTCGCTCCGGCCTGATGTTGGGCCAAAAACTAAATGGGTACTTGGACTTCTTGGACCCCAACTAGGGCCACGGCCCTAGGACCAGGTTTGCCCCTGCTCTGCGACGTGAGTATGCCGCGACAACGTGCTGCCCGCACAATCTTTATTTAGCGCACTTGTGACACTTTAGATTACGGTAGTATGCCGTGCGTTGCTACCACACAATTAAACTTTCGTACTATAAACATACGGATCACACGATAAAATACGATGATAAAATAATAATATTATAAAATTAAATACCGATATTAAAGTGATATATAATAAAAAAGCAAAGTTTTAGAAATTAACACGGTCACTAAAGCGCGGTATCGCAAGCTCACTAACAGATCTACTTTATAGACCTTTTCATGCATTGCAACAGGAACAAATAATGCCATCACATCCGTTGTGACAAGAACAAAATAATGCACGATAATTTTAAATTAATACGTGTGTTGTACAAATCCATGAATCCTCTATTGTCCTTCCTAGCTTTACCCCGTTTGTTGTGGCCTCATGGGTTGCCACTAGAATACAATATTCTTAATCCCATATCGCGAGCATTAGCTCTTGCTTTTGTTGCATACATAGATATGAAAAGTTCAACCTTCCAATCTGCCATCGTGCGCCTACCACGTAAGCCGCCGCCGACACCACGGCCGCCACACTGTCCCGATCATGATGGCCCTCCGCTCCCCACAACTGCGGTGGCTCAGGTTGCTTACGTGGAGGCAAAAGGTTAACTATCAAAATCAACATCTAGCTCGTATAACATAAAGATTGGATCATGTCTATAGAAGAAATACAAAAACCATGAACAAATAAACAGGTGCTAATAACACCAGGTGCAAAGATTTACTTGGAGATGCAAATAATTGTTTCTAGATATGATACAACCATCTGCAAGGAAAACTTCTAGAAATCAACATATTTCTAAACTTGATTGAAACCGGCAATCATAACTTGCAGAACTCAACAAATAGAATGGAGCTTTAATCTTGCACCATTTTTTCCCTACAGGTAGGATTTCTAAATCATACTCAACAACTTTTTAGTCGACTTATAGAAAAGGTTTGGAAAAAATAGTATAATATCAATGCACCTGCTAACTGAAAAGGAGCACCTAGCCACCTGTTAAACAGATAAAAGGAAAAATGTAGAATAGAGAAAAAAAGTGGGAGTTAACCTTGAGGAAGCATTGAACTGTCTAGCAAAGTTCTGGTCACAAGGCCAAAGTTCATCTCCAACTAATATCAATCTTTGCACCTGGTGTTAGCACATGGATCATAAATGAACAAATTCATTTTCTACAAGCTCTGCAAAAAAGGGGAATAAAAAAAATCCTCTGTTGATGTATCAGAACAGTCCATTACCTCTGTTGATGTAGTCCAGCTCTCCTATGCTCAATGTGTTGGCCTGTAGCGCGTACATTGTCGCCCTACGTGGCAATCTAAGTATGCAGCCATGTCATCGGCATGATGATCGCGCCGGTTGTCTTCAAGATCTTCTCATGGAAGTACATCTGACGGCACCTACACACACATTTTTGCAGCATCCTGATTCAGAATTTAGATTACACACATGGCACCATTAATTGTCATGTGTTCTCCACAAGCTGAACTGCACTTACCTCCCAACATTTGTGGGTGTGCAGCATCTGCAGAGCCATCCCACAGAGGCTCTTGATGTCCTTTGAGTTGTCCTGAAACCACTGTTTGTTTTGTCGCAAATGTCAGCATAATGTTCAGGTATAAAATTAAGATATTTTTTTTGTCAAAGTTCAGAGACTGGCCTTGCGTATTCGGCTTGCCTAATGGTTGGCATGGACTGTGTTCATGTCAGCAAAGGGAAGGTTTAATTCAGGCTGCTGTAGAGGAGATCGTCAACAAGTCAGCCAACCTTAACTGAAAAATCCTTATAAAAATATACAGAACAAAGAGTAGCTCAAATGCATGGAAGGAGAGAGAAAATAAAATGAAATCGGGATCAGAAAAGGATGGCTACAATGTCTTGCTAATTCATTGGAAAAAAACATTTCTCACTGCCTCCTTGCATATAAGATACGACCACAAACTTTTCATGAGATATGGAAACAAACACAACGGTAAATCTATACTATAAAAGAGCGAAGGAATTAAAAATAAATTCTCACACAAATATGTTCTAACCACCTTGATTCTTGTCCATTGGATCTACTTTAAACTCAGGTCCAACGCATCTAAATCTCTTAGTCTGGTATGACAAGCGGACCCAGTCGTAAATTCAGTCGGAAACTCTTTACATTGACAACTTTCTGGCTCTTATGGGAACAACACATTTTTTGTGAAGCTATTCTTAATTAATTTGTAAACTCATGGAAGTTTTCTTGTTCAGGACATTCGGTGGATTTACATTTAATATGGCCAATGTAAGTTGATTCCCCTTTAGTAAACAAACAATGATTTCTCCTATATATGTATGTTACTGTAGTTCAGAACTGAGTGGTACAATGATGTATCTGACTTTGCATTATGTGTAGACTTTCTGAAGACACTGGGTTAGAGAAAGGGATAAAAAAAGTAACCACAACTCTCTGCTCTTAAGTCTTGGGCAAGGTCTGGATCCCATTTTGCTTAACTGGACAGCAAACAAGTTTATGAATAGAGTGGTTTTCTCAGCTCCAGTGTATTTCCCTGATTATCTTTCGTGTCCCTGAATATATATTTATTTGAAATTAGATGATTTAATGATTCCTGCATGCCCAAACTATTTTCTGCTCTTCCTTCTTGAGCAAGGTCTGGACTCTGAAGCCCCTTTTGCTTAATTGGACAACAAAGACAAGTTTATGAATAAAGTTGTTCTCTCAGCTACATTGTGATTCCCTGATGAGCTTTTGTGTCCCTAAAGTATTTATTTAAAATTGAGATGATGATTTAATGATTCCCACACCCCTGATCTTGGAGAATGACCCGTATGAACTGGAGTGAGATATTATCCTTTTTATATTGCACAATGTTCTTAAAAACTATCTCTACATGTGCAGGTTCTGAAGCCAAAAAAAGTTGTGAAGCCAACAAGAGCCAAACCTGCCAAGAAGCGGGCACAAGTAGATCAAGCACATAAGCAGAGACAAGAGGTTGAGTTCCTAAAAGGTCTTAGTGGGCTGCATGGTAAGTTTATTGAGAAAGATGATAGAGCCCACGCATGTGGACGGTGGACCCCATCAGAATTGGACCTTGATGGCCTGAGCTCTGACGAGATATATGCACCAAACGTAAGAGTGGCAAAAAATTAGGGACGCGTGTAAAGCTGGCAATTATGGCTTGCATTGTTAGCAATTGAACTCTGAAATTTGTAGGAAAAATGCAATGAAATACAGATTTCTTCTATATCCTTTAGTTGATCTCTGACATTTGCTGTATAAAATAGCTGCTAAAAGACAGCTTATGAGATCTTATTCATAATATTTGCCCATTCTATTTAGAGACTCATTCTGACCTTATCGAAGTAACAATTTGACACTCATATTCGATATCATTTCACATTTCTAGTAGGGTAAATGATTTTTATCTACAGGTATGTTTTTTATTTACAATATAGTATGACCTAAAAATGTAAGGGTCATTGAAGCTCATGCTGGCTTTTTGGAAGCACATGAACAATGTTAGATAATTAGGCATTTTCATGGTCAATTTAATCCAAAAATATAATATTAGCAGGTTCGTGACAACATATATGTGCATGTGTATATCTCTAATGAAAGCTACAGCATGCAGACATGACATACATATGGATACAGTAAGAACGCAAAGTACGGTCATCACAGAGATAAAATTGTACCCAACGGAGGGTCCCATGCCGAGGGCATCAGAGGCTCAATTCGCACTAGTCGACATAATGCGTTGCTCGAAGTCGTAGACCACAGTCGATGTAGGACGGTGTTCGCAGTGCAGTCCCACGAACGGATCACCAGGAAGAAGACGGGTTCCACGAGCGATCACTAGGAAGAAGATGTCGAACGAGCAGTCGCGGAATCGCTCCCCAAAACCTAATCGCCGCACACCCCGTGCAAGGTTCACAGGTAGACGAGGGTTCTAGAGGCACCTGCTCTCCCGCTTATCGTGCGTGCAGAGGTACGGGACAGGGAAGCCAGAGGGCTGCTGAGATGTGGTCTCTCTCGGAAGTGAAGCGGAAGATCTAGACTGATGGAGGACTATGGATTTATGGCTGCGACGGGAATGGAGAAAGGCAGCGGAGAATCCCAGGAGACGGAGAGCAGAAGAGACGGTAACTTGCGCAATTAGCTCGCCTCCACCATCAAGGAGAGAAACTCCCGTGATTATATGGATTAAGTGGCAAAACTTGGCCACCGTCTGGTCCATTGCGCCGCATGATCTTCGCCTGCTCGCCACGCTCGCCACGCACGCCACGCGCCACGGCCGCCCGGCCGCCGGCCCGGCGGCGCAATGGCGGCGGCAAGCAAGGCAAGCGTGTGGCATCCCTTTGTCCTTTTCTCAGCTTCTCAGTTAAGATGGACAATTTCCAACCATATAAGCTGAGTAAACGTTCAGTCAAAATTCCATACGGTATTAAACCATACAACGCTTAATGTTACGTACCATGGAGTTTTATTTGATTTATTAAATATTATATGGGCCAAGCCCATAATATATCCAACAATCCCCACCAAACTCTAGGGTTTGTAACAAAGTAGTCTCAGAACCATATTTCTTTTATATACCAGTGTTTCGATGGAGACTGTTAAGTTGAACATCCATCTAGAGCAATAGTTTCACTCAGTCACAACTGAACAATGGACTAAGCCTTGAATTGACAGTTTTGTGTGAGGTGAATGTCACTAAAGTCCTTAGCTGATACTAGGCTGCAAAAGACATCCCCTCTATTTGAAGCATATAAGTCATACTCCAGTGCCTTTTATGAGTATTTAGAGATCACCCAAATCTCATAGACTGTGACCAGCAGTCTGACTCATATAGGTGTGTTCCTCAAAAGATGTTCTATAGGACAACATCTTTGCTTTAGCAAACCACTTGAAACACATTAA